CGTTATCACGGCCGTTATCACGCTGCGTTCCAGCGTGCGTTCCACCCAGCTCTGAGGGAGGAAGTGCACGCCGGCCGGCTTCACAGCTGTTCCCCTCCAGCCACCACGCTGCTCCACTGGCACGCTGACTTCTCCTTACCCCACACAGATGACAGCTCTTTACCCTGGATACCCACCTTACTGATGGTTACACCAACCATGGTTTTTATGCTAATACTTACCTTATTTATGTGAGTGTTCCTACCTTTACACCAGAATATAGTGATATACTGCACTTAGAGGCACTTCTTCTCCTTCTCTCAATGAGTTAAATATTCACTGTTGTGCAGGGCTGGATTCTACTACTGTTTGAAATTTGCAGGACAGTGTGTGTCCCAAGAGAAGTGCTTTTTTTGGTTCTTCCTGGCAACGTCACTACAAGGTATGAGGTTAGAATTTACCACATTGTGGATTCCTGGCAAATTAAAGGGGGTTGAGGTTCTCCTTTCCAGTGATTGTGGGGTGAAATCTGATCTGTTAACTGTGGTCAACAAGGTTACAATAGTCAATAATAGGGTTTTTTTTTATGTGCCAGAAACTTTGCTAAAAATGGTGGGTTTCCAGCAACCATTTGTCAGTAGTATGTGTCAGAGTAGTTTAGGGAGATCAAACAGGAAAAGTTAGTAGTTATATGGTGCTATACTGTACTAAATTATTGTGGCAGGCTACATATTCTTCTGTAGCCCTTGTTCTTACAGTGCAGAGACCTAGAGTCCTTTTTAGAACTACCACTTTGTGTGCCAACAACAACTGTATCTGTTGTTTATCTGCTGCCCCTCCTCTGTAGTTTTTTTTCCTTTTTTTGGGGAGGGGTTTATTTTATTTTTTTTATTAAGTGTTCTTGCATGGCAAGACCACTTACTGTTATCTCACATATATAATCTTATTATTATAGCCAAATTTACCACCCTAACTCCTCCCACAGTTTTTACACTACATAGACAGTAATATACCAAAACGTGCGGATTGTTTCCGATTGGTGTGCTATTGCTTTGTGGAACGTTTCGCCGAATGGTTCACAAAATATCGGTGTTTTTGTGGTGAAATTGGTCCCATAGGAATGAATGGCAGAATGTTCAAAACTAGAGTGGGAGCTGACAAAAGCTAGAGTGTGAGCTGAAAGATTAGGACATAATTTCTAAACTGCCATCACTCCCTCATTTTCAAGCCCACCTACACAAATCTTATATCAAAACGTTCAGCTATCCCTGCTTCCACTAACAAAATGTCCATGGCTAAGCCATAGTCCTGATAGTTTTCACAATATGACCATTTGTTTGCAACTCACGCCACCCATTGACCTTTTCACAGTTACTCCTGCCACTCCAACCACACAACAGTTACTCAAGCCACTCCACCCAGTTACTCCGCCCACACCAGTTGTAGACTACTGGTGGAGGCAAGAACACTTCACACAATTTCCCCAGAAATTGTAGCTTTTCTAGTTTCTCATGCAGTACATGACTGTTTACTTGTGCATTTAAGTAGTGTAAACCTAGGCAACATATAGTTATTAGGTGAGAATGGTGGAAAGCAGCTTCAGTAGTAGGATCTCCTCTTTGATGCTTGGAATCTGGTTGCACTCAGTGATAGTGGGCAAATATATTTCCACATTGTCATTCAGTGGAGCAACCACAAGACTACTGGCTCTCCTACCTAAGACTTCTGTAGTGCCCGTACAAGTGCTTAGAGTATAAGGCAGAGCATCTCCAGTTATGTTCAACAGTTCAAAAAACTGTGTTCTTGCAAGAGATCTGTTACTCTGATCATCCAGAATAGTATACAGTCTTATGGCCTTTTCAGGTTGACCTTTGGGGTATACACGGACCAAGCATATCTTTGCACAAGATTTGTCGCAGAATCCTTCTCCGCAGACCTCTGTACATGTAGAGGTGCGGCTTGATCTGGATGCTCCCCGCCTTGCTTTGTCTCAGGAAGATTGTGAGCTTAGTAGAGTTGAGCGAATATTGATGAAGAGCTTGCACATGGTCATCACTGTCACACTCTATACATTCGATGATCGCTTTACAGTCCTTTGCAAAGTGTTCTGTGGAGGCACAGCATTTGTAGCAAACCCCAAATTTCTTTAAAAGTTCCTTACGTTCTTGGAGGGTTTTCTTTCTGAAGCCGATACATTTCTTATGTGGATGTGGTTTGTAATGTATTGGACATTGGCGATTTGGATCTTCAATTTTCTTGTTCTGATCAGTCTTTTCAAGAACTGTAGCAGGTGCAGGTAGACCATTAGTCCTTTTCACTAACACTGGACCTCTACGTGTGTTCGTAGGTCTTGGAGAGAATGTGCTGAGAGAGTTACAGTCCCCATATGAGAAACTTGGGTCATTCTTAGTGTCTGCAATTCTTTTGATGAACTCGCAGAAGTAGGAAAAGGGAGGAAAGGCAACTCTATGTTCTTCCTATTACTTTGATCCAAGCGCTGCCCATCTTTCTTGAATTCCATATGGTAGCTTGAGAACAATAGATTTGATGCCATGAGAGGTTTCAAGGTAACTGAGACCAGGTAAGTTGATGTCAGCCTTAGCAAGTTGAAGCTCTAATAGAACATCGCTGAGTTCTTGAAACTTTAGATTGTCGCTAGCAGAAATCCTTGGGAAGCTTTGCAACCTTTTGAATAAAGCATCTTCAATGGCCTCTGGGCTGCCAAAGGTATGTTCAAGTCTGCCCCAAGCAGCATTAAGGCCTGCAGCTGTGTTGTCACTATGAACTGCTTTGAGTCTCTTGATGCGTTCAGTAGACTGGGGACCTAGTCATCTGATGAGTAGATCTAATTCCTCTGTGGCATTGATGTCTAGGTCACTCATTGTGGCCTTAAAAATGGATTTCCAGCCTCTGTAATTTTCAGGTTTGTCATCAAACTTGGTGAGGCCTGTCTTAACAAGCTCTCTGTGGAGCATTTATTTAGCAAACTGTGACATGTCCGTGTTTTCATATTTTGGTGTGCATGACTGCAGGTGGAAAAGAGTTGGTTGTGACGGTTGGTGGACTTACGTGGAGTGACTTGGGAACATATGTTGCTGCTAAGGCATTCAATTCCGGAGCTGGCTTAAAGTCCATTGGCATGTTGGTTTGTAGAGTAGTGCGTTTGCTAGGAGGTACTCTGTTGGTGTCAAAGTAAGGTGGACGGTCTGTTAAATACACACCAGTGTCTGCGGCTAGCTGAGATGCTGCAATCTGATGTATTAGGGGATATAAAGGCAAATGGTCTTGAGGTACAGTAGGTGCAGAGAAGAAACTTTGATTGAGTACTTTGGCTGCTGTGACAGGGAGTTGACGTTCTGGAGAGGTGTGTGAAGAATCTGAGACATAAGATACAACTGAGTGGTCTGGAACCGTTGTCTTTTTCGTTTTCACTAGCGCTTGTTCTAAGACCCTCAACCTTGCCATGGCTGCGGCATGCTCACATTGTTTTTCCAAAACTTCAATTTCTGCCCTTTTGACGTATGGCTTCAGCTTCTTTCTCTGCTTTCTGATGTGCGGCCTGAGCCTCCATTTGTGCGTCCTGAGCCTCCATTTGTGCGTCCTGAGCCTCCATTTCTTCTTTCTTTTGGGTGAAAGCTGCCTGAATTTAAGAAGATTCAGCATCAGCACGGGCTTTTATTAGTTGTTGACTTAGTGTAGAAGATCTCGATTGTAAGGATTTGGAAGATCTTGAGGAGTGTCTAGTAGACGCAGAGCGATAAGATCTGGATTCATGAAGCTGTGCTATTCTCACTTCTGCCTTTGTTCGCACCACCAAATTGTCTCTTTCAAGATTGAGCTCCTCAAAGCTCCTTAATTCTTACAAATGACTCTTGAGTGTGGTACCGCTTTAACAGAGCAATATATTTAACACACAGTCTTTGATAATTCTCATAAGCAACATTCAATTGCTAGATAGCGCCCTCTAGTTGTAATGGCTCATGAGATTGTTGGGAGAGAGCAGACATGCATTTAACAGTATTAGAGCATAAGTCATTAATATTAGACAGCAATTCTGACTTGTCAGCATTAAGACTTTCTTGTACTTTCCAGCTTAGTTTTGTTAAGCGTTTTTCTCTTTTATCTAATTCAGGGTTTAAGTCCTGCTCTGGATGAAGCTCTGATTGTGGTTGTGTATTAGTTTCCCCAGACTGTATATCACTTTCCTGAAACATCATGTTAGCAAGGAGAGGGGTAGATAGAAAGCTTACAGAGAAATGTATAACTTCTTCTGTGACTGAGTTCAGGTTTTAATGCAATAATTGCAGGAAGATTTTCTTTCTTATAAGTTCACAGACAAGAGTTGTGTTGTAATGTGTACGCATGCAGTGTATAAACTTGCAGCTGTAAAACATTCACATCAATAATTTGTCCTGACACTGATGAGTGTTATGCTGGGATATACTTGGAGACATGTACAGACTTGTGTAGAGGTGGCTGCACTCTCTATAGCTGTTATATCCAGTGTCCGTGTAACATCTCACTGTGTATACTAGTTAGTAGAGATGAGCGAATCGAAGTAGCCGAAGTGGAATTCGAGTCGAATATCGGAAAAATTTCGATTCGCGCCGAACCCGAAAAATAGCCTAATTCGGACGCGCGAATCGAAATTTTTCCGAAAATGGCGGCTGACATGTGCGGCGACGGAGCGGGGATGTCTGGGAAGGCGCGCAGACAAGGCGCGCTGACCCATAATGCATTCCTCAATGACATGTGATCGCATCAGCCAATCAGCAGCCAGCCAGCTAGCACTGTGTAATGGTCGAGCTATAAATAGCGGCCATTTTGGAATTCTTCATTTGCCTGCAGTCATTGAACAGAGGCAGACCGCTCTGTATTAGGGACAGGGACAGAGTTAGGGCCACAGAAACGATACTTGGGGACAGAGAAACGATACTTAGAGACAGAGAACTATTACTCAGGGGACACAGAATTGTTAATTAGGGCCACAGAATCGTTACTTAGGGACAAAGAAACGCTAGTTAGGGCCACAGAATTCATACTCAGGACAGACAGAATTGTTACTGAGTGCCAGAGAATTGTTACTTAGGGCCACAGAAACGTTATTAGGGCCACAGAATTGTTACTCAGGGACAGACAGAATTGTTACTGAGTGCCAGAGAATTGTTACTTAGGGCCACAGAAACGTTATTAAGGGCCACAGAATTGTTACTCAGGGACAGACAGAATTGTTACTGAGTGCCAGATAATTGTTACTTAGGGCCACAGAAACGTTATTAGGGCCACAGAATTGTTACTCAGGGACAGACAGAATTGTTACTGAGTGCCAGAGAATTGTTACTTAGGGCCACAGAAACTTTTAGTTAGGGCCACAGAATTGTTACTCAGGGACAGACACAGAATTGTTACTGAGGGCCACAGAACTGTTACTTAGGGCCACAGAATTGTTACTCGCACAGACACAGAATTGTTACACAGGGACACAGAACTGTTACTGAGGGCCACAGAACCGTTACTTAGGGCCACAGAATTGTTACTCGCACAGACACAGAATTGTTACTCGCACAGACACAGAATTGTTACTCAGGGACACAGAACTGTACTGAGGGCCACAGAACTGTTACTTAGGGCCACAGAATTGTTACTCGCACAGACACAGAATTGTTTACACAGGGACACAGAATTGTTACTGAGGGCCACAGAACCGTTACTTAGGGCCACAGAATTGTTACTCGCACAGACACAGAATTGTTACTCGCACAGACACAGAATTGTTACTCAGGGACACACAGAAACTGTTACTGAGGGCCACAGAACTGTTACTTAGGGGCCCAGAATTGTTACTCGCACAGACACAGAATTGTTACACAGGGACACAGAATTGTTACTGAGGGCCACAGAACCGTTACTTAGGGCCACAGAATTGTTACTGAGGGCAACAGAACTGTTTACTTAGGGCCACAGAATTGTTACTCGCACAGACACAGAATTGTTACTCAGGGAACACAGAACTGTTACTGAGGGCCACAGAACCGTTACTTAGGGCCACAGAATTGTTACTCAGGGACACAGAATCGTTTAATTAAAGAGTATGTCAGACAACATGCAGAGGAGTGGCAGAGGAGGCAATGTTTTAGGAGCGAGCAGACGTGGCAGCAGAGGAAGGGGTCGAGGCAGCACTATTCGCAGCCAGAGGCTAGTGCTCCCCGGTGTCATCCAGTACAGTGAGGAAGAGCTAACAGAGGGCGGTCAGGAACGGGGGGAGACATCCGCCTCTTCAGCAGCCAGGCGAAGAAGTAGTGGCGAGGAGAGTGGCTCGGTAGCCGGTGTAGAGACAGGTCTGTCTCCTGACCCACACGCAGCCGAGGGGGCTAGTAGTGAGGCGGAGACCCTAATTGATGATGATGAGGCTGATCGCACTTTGGCAGCCTCGTCGTCATCAGGCTATTGCTTCCGCATCATCAGGAGAAGAGGGTGGCAGCTTGGCAGCGAGCAAAACAGTCGGTGGGTTGTCTCCATCGCCACACTCTGCATGTGCATGTGCCACTTTCAGGTCTCCTCACACACTGCTGGTGTGTTGAATTTTTTAGGGACCATAGGGTGCTGGCAGATTACGGGCCTCCCATAGCTGCTGCCAGGCCCCTAATCTGCCATGGGCCCCTATACCGCCTCCTCATGCTGCTGCCAGGTCCACAGTCTCTCATGCCATGTGCCACTTTTCAGGTCTCCTCACACTGCTGGTGTGTTGAATTTTTTGACATAGGGTGCTGGCAGATTACGGGCCTCCCATAGCTGCTGCCAGGCCCCTAATCTGCCATGGGCCCCTATACCGCCTCCTCATGCTGCTGCCAAGTCCAAAGTCTCTCATGGGTCCCCTGTACGGCCTCCCATTGCTGCTGTCTCCATTGCCACACTCTTGCCATGTGCCACTTTCAGGTCTCCTCACACACTGCTGGTGTGTGTTGAATTTTTTGACATAGGGTGCTGGCAGATTACGGGCCTCCCATAGCTGCTGCCAGGCCCCTAATCTGCCATGGGCCCCTATACCGCCTCCTCATGCTGCTGCCAGGTCCACAGTCTCTCATGCCATGTGCCACTTTCAGGTCTCCTCAACACTGCTGGTGTGTTGAATTTTTGACATAGGGTGCTGGCAGATTACGGGCCTCCCATAGCTGCTGCCAGGCCCCTAATCTGCAATGGGCCCCTATATACCGCACTCTCCTCATGCTGCTGCCAGGTCCAGAGTCTGTCACCTGGGTCCCTGTTCGGCCTCCCATTGCTGCTGCTGTCTCCATCGCCACACTCTGCCATGTGCCACTTTCAGGTCTCCTCACACACTGCTGGTGTGTAGAAATTTTTTTGACATAGGGTGCTGGCAGATTATGGGCCTCCCATTGCTGCTGCCAGGCCCCTAATCTGCCATGGGCCCCTATACCGCCTCCTCATGCTGCTGCCAAGTCCAGAGTCTCTCATGGGTCCCTGTACGGCCTCCCATTGCTGCTGTCTCCATCGCCACACTCTGCCATGTGCCACTTTCAGGTCTCCTCACACAACTGCTGGTGTGTAGAATTTTTTTGACATAGGGTGCTGGCAGATTACGGGCCTCCCATTGCTGCTGCCAGGCCCCTAATCTGCCATGGGCCCCTATACCGCCTCCTCATGCTGCTGCCAATTCCATGGTCCGCTCTATGGGTCCTGTACGGCCTCCCATTGCTGCTGTCTCCATCGCCACACTCTGCCATGTGCCACTTTCAGGTCTCCTCACACTGCTGGTGTGTAGAATTTTTTGACATAGGGTGCTGGCAGAGATTACGGGCCTCCTATAGCTGCTGCCAGGCCCCTAATCTGCCATAGGCCCCTATATACCGCCTCCTCATGCTGCTGCCAGGTCCAGAGTCCCTCATGGTGTCCCTGTACGGCCTCCCATTGCTGCTGTCTCCATCGCCACACTCTGCCATGTGCCACTTTCAGGTCTCCTCACACACTGCTGGTGTGTTGAATTTTTTGACATAGGGTGCTGGCAGATTACGGGCCTCCTATAGCTGCTGCCAGGCCCCTAATCTGCCATGGGCCCCTATACGCCTCCTCATGCTGCTGCCAGGTCCCACAGTCTCTCATGCCATGTGCCACTTTCAGGTCTCCTCACACTGCTGGTGTGTTGAATTTTTTGACATAGGGTGCTGGCAGATTACGGGCCTCCCATAGCTGCTGCCAGGCCCCCTAATCTGCCATGGGCCCCTATATACCGCCCCATCATGCTGCTGCCAAGTCCAAAGTCTCTCATGGGTCCCCGTACGGCCTCCCATTGCTGCTGTCTCCATCGCCACACTCTGCCATGTGCCACTTTTCAGGTCTCCTCACACACTGCTGGTGTGGTTGTGAATTTTTTGACATAGGGTGCTGGCAGATTACGGCCTCCCATAGCTGCTGCCAGGCCCCTAATCTGCCATGGGCCCCTATACCGCCTCCTCATGCTGCTGCCAGGTCCACAGTCTCTCATTGCCATGTGCCACTTTCAGTTCTCCTCACACTGCTGGTGTGTTGAATTTTTTGACATAGGCTGCTGGCAGATTACGGGCCTCCCATAGCTGCTGCCAGGCCCCTAATCTGCCATGGGCCCCTATATACCGCCTCCTCATGCTGCTGCCAGGTCCAGAGTCTGTCATGGGTCCCTGTTCGGCCTCCCATTGCTGCTGTCTCCATCGCCACACTCTGCCATGTGCCACTTTCAGGTCTCCTCACACACTGCTGGTGTGTAGAATTTTTGACATTAGGGTGCTGGCAGTTTACGGGCCTCCCATTGCTGCTGCCAGGCCCCTAATCTGCCATTGGGCCCCTATACCGCCTCCTCCATGCTGCTGCCAAGTCCAGAGTCTCTCATGGGTCCCTGTACGGCCTCCCATTGCTGCTGTCTCCATCGCCACACTCTGCCATGTGCCACGTTCAGGTCTCCTCACACACTGCTGGTGTGTAGAATTTTTTGACATAGGGTGCTGGCAGATTACGGGCCTCCCATTGCTGCTGCCAGGCCCACTAAATCTGCCATGGGCCCCTATACCGCCTCCTCATTGCTGCTGCCAATGTCCAGAGTCTCTCATGGGTCCCTGTACGGCCTCCCATTGCTGCTGTCTCCATCGCCACACTCTGCCATGTGCCACTTTCAGGTCTCCTCACACACTGCTGGTGTGTAGAATTTTTTTTTGACATAGGGTGCTGGCAGATTACGGGCCCTCCCAGAGCTGCTGCCAGGCCCCTAATCTGCCATGGGCCCCTATACCGCCTCCTCATGCTGCTGCCAAGTCCAGGGTCTCTCATGGGTCCCTGTACGGTCTCCCATTGCTGCTGTCTCCATCGCCACACTCTGCCATGTGCCACTTTCAGGTCTCCTCACACACTTCTGGTGTGTAGAATTTTTTGACAAGGGTGCTGGCAGATTACGGGCCTCCCATAGCTGCTGCCAGGCCCCTAATCTGCCATAGGCCCCTATATACCGCCTCCTCATGCTGCTGCCAGGTTCCAGAGTCTCTCATGGGTCCCTGTACGGCCTCCCATTGCTGCTGTCTCTCCATCGCCACACTCTGCCCAAGTGCCACTTTCAGGTCTCCTCACACTGCTGGTGTGTAGAATTTTTTGACATAGGGTGCTGGCAGATTACGGGCCTCCTATAGCTGCTGCCAGGCCCCTAATCTGCCATAGGCCCCTATATACCGCCTCCTCATGCTGCTGCCAGGTCCAGAGTCTCTCATGGGTCCCTGTACGGCCTCCATTGCTGCTGTCTCCATCGCCACACTCTGCCATGTGCCACTTTCAGGGTCTCCTCACACACTGCTGTGTGTGTTGAATTTTTTGACATAGGGTGCTGGAAGATTACGGGCCTCCTATAGCTGCTGCCAGGCCCCTAATCTGCCATGGGCCCCTATATACCGCCTCCTCATGCTGCTGCCAGGTCCACAGTCTCTCATGCCATTTGTGCCACCTTTCAGGTCTCCTCACACTGCTGGTGTGTTGAATTTTTTTGAAATAGGGTGCTGGCAGATTACGGGCCTCCCATAGCTGCTGCCAGGCCCCTAATCTGCCATGGGCCCCTATATACCGCCTCCTCATGCTGCTGCCAAGTCCAAAGTCACTCTCATGGGTCCCCTTACGCCTCCCATTGCTGCTGTCTCCATCGCCACACTCTGCCATGTGCCACTTTCAGGTCTCCTCACACACTGCTGGTGTGTTGAATTTTTTAGGGGTGACATAGGCAGTGGGCCTGGCAGATTCTGCGGGCCTCCCATAGCTGCTGCCAGGCCCCTAATCTGCCATGGGCCCCTATACCGCCTCCTCATGCTGCTGCCAGGTCCCACAGTCTCTCATGCCATGTGCCACTTTCAGTTCTCCTCACACTGCTGGTGTGTTGAATTTTTTGACATAGGGTGCTGGCAGATTACGGGCCTCCCATAGCTGCTGCCAGGCCCCTAATCTGCCATGGGCCCCTATATACCACCTCCTCATGCTGCTGCCAGGTCCAGAGTCTGTCATGGGTCCCTGTTCGGCCTCCCATTGCTGCTGTCTCCATCGCCACACTCTGCCATGTGCCACTTTCAGGTCTCCTCACACACTGCTGGTGTGTAGAATTTTTTGACATAGGGTGCTGGCAGATTACGGGCCTCCCATTGCTGCTGCCAGGCCCCTAATCTGCCATGGGCCCCTATACCGCCTCCTCATGCTGCTGCCAATCCAGAGTCTCTCATGGGTCCCTGTACGGCCTCCCATTGCTGCTGTCTCCATCGCCCCACTCTGCCATGTGCCACTTTCAGGTCTCCTCACACATGCTGGTGTGTAGAATTTTTTGACATAGGGTGCTGGCAGATTACGGGCCTCCCATAGCTGCTGCCAGGCCCCTAATCTGCCATGGGCCCCTATTTACCGCCTCCTCATGCTGCTGCCAGGTCCACAGTGTCCCTCGATGCCATGTGCCACTTTCAGGTTTCCTCACACACTGCTGGTGTGTGTAGAATTTTTTGACATAGGGTGCTGGCAGATTACGGGCCTCCTATAGCTGCTGCCAGGCCCCTAATCTGCCATAGGCCCCTATATACCGCCTCCTCATGCTGCTGCCAGGTCCAGAGTCTCTCATGGGTCCCTGTACGGCCTCCCATTGCTGCTGTCTCCATCGCCACACTCTGCCATGTGCCACTTTCAGGTCTCCTCACACACTGCTGGTGTGTAGAATTTTTTGACATAGGGTGCTGGCAGATTACGGGCCTCCCATAGCTGCTGCCAGGCCCCTAATCTGCCATGGGCCCCTATATACCGCCTCCTCATGCTGCTGCCAAGTCCAAAGTCTCTCATGGGTCCCCGTACGGCCTCCATTGCTGCTGTCTCCATCGCCACACTCTGCCATGTGCCACTTTCAGGTCTCCTCACACACTGCTGGTGTGTTGAATTTTTTGACATAGGGTGCTGGCAGATTACGGGCCTCCCATAGCTGCTGCCAGGCCCCTAATCTGCCATGGGCCCCTATACCGCCTCCTCATGCTGCTGCCAGGTCCACAGTCTCTCATGCCATGTGCCACTTTCAGTTTCTCCTCACACACTGCTGGTGTGTTGAATTTTTTGACATAGGGTGCTGGCAGATTACGGGCCTCCCATAGCTGCTGCCAGGCCCCTAATCTGCCATGGGGGCCCCTATATACCACCTCCTCATGCTGCTGCCAGGTCCAGGTCCAGTCTGTCATGGGTCCCTGTTCGGCCTCCCATTGCTGCTGTCTCCATCGCCACACTCTGCCATGTGCCACTTTCAGGTCTCCTCACACACTTGCTGGTGTGTAGAATTTTTTGACATTAGGGTGCTGGCAGATTACGGGTCACTCCCAGATGCTGCTGCCAGGCCCCTAATCTGCCATGGGCCCTATACCACCTCCTCATGCTGCTGCCAAGTCCAGAGTCTCTCATGGGTCCCTGTACGGCCTCCCATTGCTGCTGTCTCCATCGCCACACTCTGCCATGTGCCACTTTCAGGTCTCCTCACACACTGCTGGTGTGGTAGAATTTTTTGACATAGGGTGCTGGCAGATTACGGGCCTCCCATAGCTGCTGCCAGGCCCCTAATCTGCCATGGGCCCCTATTTACCGCCTCCTCATGCTGCTGCCAGGTCCACAGAGTGTCTCATGCCATGTATGCCACTTTCAGGTCTCCTCACACTGCTGGTGTGTGTAGAATTTTTTGACCATAGGGTGCTGGCAGATTACGGGCTCCTATAGCTGCTGCCAGGCCCTAAATCTGCCATAGGCCCCTATATACCGCCTCCTCATGCTGCTGCCAGTGTCCAGAGTCTCTCATGGGTCCCTGTACGGTCCTCCCATTGCTGCTGTCTCCATCGCCACACTCTGCCATGTGCCACTTTCAGGGTCTCCTCACACACTGCTGGTGTGTAGAATTTTTTGACATAGGGTGCTGGCAGATTACGGGCCTCCCATAGCTGCTGCCAGGGCCCTAATCTGCCATGGGCCCCCTATATACCGCCTCCTCCTGCTGCTGCCAGGTCCACAGTGTCTCATGCCATGTGCCACTTTCAGGTCTCCTCACACTGCTGGTGTGTAGAATTTTTTGACATAGGGTGCTGGCAGATTACGGGTCTCCTATAGCTGCTGCCAGGCCCCTAATCTTACCATAGTCCCCTATATACCGCCTCCCTCCTCATGCTGCTGCCAGGTCCAGAGTCTCTCATGGGTCCTGTACGGCCTCCCATTGCTGCTGTCTCCCATCGCCACACTCTGCCATGTGCCACTTTCAGGTCTCCTCACACACTGCTGGTGTGTAGAATTTTTTGACATAGGGTGCTGGCAGATTACGGGCCTCCCATTGCTGCTGCCAGGCCCCTAATCTGCCATGGGCCCCTATACCGCCTCCTCATTGCTGCTGCCAAGTCCAGAGTCTCTCATGGGTCCCTGTACGGCCTCCCATTGCTGCTGTCTCCATCGCCACACACTCTGCCATGTGCCACTTTCAGGTCTCCTCACACACTGCTGGTGTGTAGAATTTTTTGACATAGGGTGCTGGCAGATTACGGGCCTCCCAGTGCTGCTGCCAGGCCCCTAATCTGCCATGGGCCCCTATACCGCCCTCCTCATGCTGCAGCCAAGTCCTAGGGTCTCTCATGGGTCCCTGTACGGTCTCCCATTGCTGCTGTCTCCATCGCCACACTCTGCCATGTGCCACTTTCAGGTCTCCTCACACACTTCTGGTGTGTAGAATTTTTTGACATAGGGTGCTGGCAGATTACGGGCCTCCCATAGCTGCTGCCAGGCCCCTAATCTGCCATAGGCCCTATATACCGCCTCCTCATGCTGCTGCCAGGTCCAGAGTCTCTCATGGGTCCCTGTACGGCCTCCCATTGCTGCTGGCTCCCATCGCCACACTCTGCCATGTGCCACTTTCAGGTCTCCTCACACACTGCTGGTGTGTTGAATTTTTTGACATAGGGTGCTGGAGATTACGGGCCTCCTATAGCTGCTGCCAGGCCCCTAATCTGCCATGGGCCCCTATACCGCCTCCTCATTGCTGCTGCCAGGTCCACAGTCTCTCATGCCATGTGCCACTTTCAGGTCTCCTCACACTGCTGGTGTGTTGAATTTTTTGACATAGGGTGCTGGCAGATTACGGGCCTCCCATAGCTGCTGCCAGGCCCCTAATCTGCCATGGGCCCCTATTATACCGCCTCCTCATGCTGCTGCCAAGTCCAAAGTCTCTCATGGGTCCCCGTACGGCCTCCCATTGCTGCTGTCTCCATCGCCACACTCTGCCATGTGCCACTTTCAGGTCTCCTCACACACTGCTGGTGTGTTGAATTTTTTGACATAGGGTGCTGGCAGATTACGGGCCTCCCATAGCTGCTGCCAGGCCCCTAATCTGCCATGGGCCCCTATACCGCCTCCTCAATGCTGCTGCCAGGGTCCACAGTCTCTCATGCCATGTGCCACTTCCAGTTCTCCTCACACTGCTGGTGTGTTGAATTTTTTGACATAGGGTGCTGGGCAGATTATGGGCCTCCATAGCTGCTGCCAGGCCCCTAATCTGCCATGGGCCCCTATATACCGCCTCCTCATGCTGCTGCCAGGTCCAGAGTCGTCATGGGTCCCTGTTCGGCCTCCCATTGCTGCTGTCTCCATCTCCACACTCTGCCATGTGCCACTTTCAAGGTCTCCTCACACACTGCTGGTGTGTAGAATTTTTTGACATAGGGTGCTGGCAGATTACGGGCCTCTCCATTGCTGCTGCCAGGCCCCTAATCTGCCATGGGCCCCTATACCGCCTCCTCATGCTGCTGCCAAGTCCAGAGTCTCTCATGGGTTGTCCCTGTACGGCCTCCCATTGCTGCTGTCTCCATCGCCACACTCTGCCATGTGCCACTTTCAGGTCTCCTCACACACACTGCTGGTGTGTAGAATTTTTTTGACATAGGGTGCTGGCAGATTACGGGCCTCCCCATTGCTGCTGCCAGGCCCCTAATCTGCCATGGGCCCCTATACCCGCCCTCCTCATGCTGCTGCCAAAGTCCAGAGTCGCTCATGGGTCCCTGTACGGCCTCCCATTGCTGCTGTCTCCATCCGCCCACACTCTGCCATGTGCCACTTTCAGGTCTCCTCACACACTGCTGGTGTGTAGAATTTTTTGACATAGGGTGCTGGCAGATTACGGGCCTCCCATAGCTGCTGCCAGGCCCCTAATCTGCCATGGGCCCCTATTTACCGCCTCCTCATGCTGCTGCCAGGTCCACAGTGTCTCATGCCATGTGCCACTTTCAGGTCTCCTCACACACTGCTGGTGTGTAGAATTTTTTTTTGACATAGGGTGCTGGCAGATTACGGGCCTCCTATAGCTGCTGCCAGGCCCCTAATCTGCCATAGGCCCCTATATACCGCCTCCTCATGCTGCTGCCAGGTCCAGAGTCTCTCATGGGTCCCTGTACGGCCTCCCATTGCTGCTGTCTCCATCGCCACACTCTGCCATGAGCCACTTTCAGGTCTCCTCACACACTGCTGGTGTGTAGAATTTTTTGACATAGGGTGCTGGCAGATTACGGGCCTCCTATAGCTGCTGCCAGGCCCCTAATCTGCCATGGGCCCCTATATACCGCCTCCTCATGCTGCTGCCAGGTCCACAGTGTCTCATGCCATGTGCCACTTTCAGGTCTCCTCACACTGCTGGTGTGTAGAATTTTTTGACATAGGGTGCTGGCAGATTACGGGCCTCAATAGCTGCTGCCAGGCCCCTAATCTGCCATAGGGCCCCTATATACCGCCTCCTCATGCTGCTGCCAGGTCCAGAGTCTCTCATGGGTCCCTGTACGGCCTCCCATTGCTGCTGTCTCCATCGCCACACTCTGCCATGTGCCACTTTCAGGTCTCCTCACACACTGCTGGTGTGTAGAATTTTTTGACATAGGGTGCTGGCAGATTACGGGCCTCCCATAGCTGCTGCCAGGCCCCTAATCTGCCATGGGCCCCTATATACCGCCTCCTCATGCTGCTGCCAGGTCCACAGTGTCTCATGCCATGTGCCACTTTCAGGTCTCCTCACACTGCTGGTGTGTAGAATTTTTTTGACATAGGGTGCTGGCAGATTACGGGCCTCCTATAGCTGCTGCCAGGCACCTAATCTGCCATAGGCCCCTATATACCACCTCCTCATGCTGCTGCCAGGTCCAGAGTCTCTCATGGGTCCCTGTACGGCCTCCCATTGCTGCTGTCTCCATCGCCACACTCTGCCATGTGCCACTTTCAGGTCTCCTCACACTGCTGGTGTGTAGAATTTTTTGACATAGGGTGCTGGCAGATTACGGGCCTCCCATTGCTGCTGCCAGGCACGTAATCTGCCATGGGCCCCCGTACCGACTCCTCATGCTGTGACGTTGCAACAACGTGGAATTCAACCCTGCATATGTTAAGACCGCCTTTACGAACAGCGAAAGGCCATCACAGATTTCCTGATGTTAAAAGCGGATAAAGGTACTCCCTGTGTAACTTAGATGTCAGCCATTGGCAGCTCATGCGTGACACCTGCGCTTGCTCAGGCCCTTTGAGGAGGCCACGCTATTCGTGAGTCCCGGCAGGACTATGGGATGAACGACGTCATTCCTCTGTTGCACGTCCTGGAACAAATGCTGTTAACAATGGCTGGTCAGGGTGCGGTAGACGTGGCGCACAGATCTCAACGCCACATGACCCCTGTGGGGGCAGGACAGGAAGAAGAGGAGGAGGTAGAGGAGGACATTGGATGCTCAGGAATTATTGAGTGAAAATGGGTGGTTTTTCCACTCAGCGGACAGGAGTGGAGGAGCAGGAGCATCTGGTAGAGGAGGAGGAGAGGAGGAGGAGACAGAGGACCCAGACGCACCGTGGCAGTATGCTGTGGGAGATGGAGGCAGGGAGTCCCTCGCATTCCTTGGCACAAATGGCCCATAGCATGCTCGGTTGCTTGCGTAGCGACAGCCGAATAATAACCATCAGACAGAGGGATGACTTTTGGCTGTCCACCTTGTTGGACCCTCGCTACCGTTCAAAAACGGTGGCCTTTTTCACAACACCTGCTGAGAGGGAGGCCAAAATAACGTACTATAAAAACCACCTATGTAGTCAGCTGGTCTCTGCCTGTCTGCGCCAACGTCCATCCTCAGACACTGTGGGCCCTGTGCGCTCGCGTTCCGCTGCCATGGCAGCAGGGGAGGGGTGGGTTGGTAGGAGCAGTGGCAGCTCCACCAGCAGCGGCTGCCTCAGTCTGCAGTCGATGATGAGTAGCTTTCTTCACCAGCGCAGTGAGGAAACTACTAACCAGCCGCAGCAGCAGCAGCAGCAGCATCAGGTGGACCTGGAGCAGGACCTCAAACAACAGGCTTAGGCCTACTTGGACAGCACCCTGCCAACCGAGGTAGACAATCCCCTTGACTACTGGGCAACGAAACTTGACCTTTGGCCCCAACTAGCTGAATTTGCCCTTGAAAGGCTGTCATGCCCGGCCAGTAGCGTGGCATCGGAGCGCGTGTTTAGTGCGGCAGGAGGTATTGCAACTCCGCGGAGGACACGACTGTCCACCCAAAGTGTGGAGAGACTGACGTTTGTGAAAATGAATCAGGCGTGGATTAGTCTGGATTTCAAACCACCAGTTCCTGACACAACTGACTAAATCCGCCATGAATCATGCCCCAAACATGTGCCACTTTCAGGTCTCCTCACACTGCTGGTGTGTTACATTTTTTGTCATAGGGTGCTGGCAGATTACGGGCCTCCCATAGCTGCTGCCATGCCCCTAATCTGCCATGGGCCCCCTATACCGCCTCCTCATGCTGCTGCCAAGTCCAGAGTCTCTCATGGGTCCCCTGTACGGCCTCCCATTGCTGCTGTCTCCATCGCCACACTCTGCCATGTGCCACTTTCAGGTCTCCTCACACTGCTGGTGTATTCCATTTTTTGTCATAGGGTGCTGGCAGATTACGGGCCTCCCATAGCTGCTGCCAGGCCCCTAATCTGCCATGGGCCCCTATACCGCCTCCTCATGCTGCTGCCAGGTCCAGAGTCTCTCATGGGTCCCTGTACGGCCTCCCATTGCTGCTGTCTCCATCGCCACACTCTGCCATGTGCCACTTTCAGGTCTCCTCACACTGCTGGTGGGTTCCATTTTTTGTCATAGGGTGCTGGCAGATTACGGGCCTCCCATAGCTGCTGCCAGGCCCCTAATCTGCCATGGGCCCCCGTACCGACTCCTCATGCTGCTGCCAGGCCCGTAATCTGTCATGGGCCCTGTTGTCGCTTGTTGGCATATTCCACTCGTTCAGATGCTCCTTCTCCTGCTACTCCTCTCTCTCACGGATTCCGTCAGCAGTCTTTCTTGGAATCCGTTTCCAAGAGACAACAGTTTGCGAGCACGCACCAGACGGTGCAGAAGCTGAACGTCCTCCTGTCCAAGTTGCTGCTGCCAGGCTCGTAATCTGTCATGCGCCCCTGTACCGCCTCCTCATGCTGCTGCCAGGTCCAGAGTGTGTCATGGGCCCCGTACCGACTCCTCATGCTGCTGCCAGGCCCGTAATCTGTCATGGGCCCCTGTACCGCCTCCCCATGCTGCTGCCAGGTCCAGAGTGTGTCATGGGTCCCTGTACGGCCTCCCATTGCTGCTGCCAGGCCCGTAATCTGCCATGGGCCCCCGTACCGACTCCTCATGCTGCTGCCAGGCCCGTAATCTGCCATGGGCCCCTGTACCACCTCCTCATGCTGCTGCCAGGTCCAGAGTGTGTCATGGGTCCCTGTACGGCCTCCCATTGCTGCTGTCTCTATCGCCACACTCTGCCATGTGCCACTTTCAGGTCTCCTCACACTGCTGGTGGTTTCCATTTTTGTCATAGGGTGCTGTATGGCCTCCCATTGCTGCTGCCTCCACCGCCACACTGTGGCTCCACACTCTGGTTTTGGCCCCGTGACTGCCCAAATGAGTGAAGTGTGCGGTGATTCTAAGATCGACGGCACTCATCTGCATGTCATACTGACTGACAGTATTATTTCTCTTCCCCAGCAGACTCCAAGGGCATTTAAATTAAAGGTACAGTGTTCAGCACTAATATTAAGTCTCTCTGAAGCCTAGAAACACCCTTTTTTAAGTTAAATTCACTGCGAATATATTCGACTCGAATCGAAATTTTTTCACGAATTCGACGCCGAATCAGTCGAATCGAATTTTTGAATACTTCGCTCATCTCTACTAGTTAGCAAGGATTCTTATGAAGCATTCCACTGTTCTTTTGACTGTTCTGTTGGCTCCAATCTAAGCATTGATAGTGTGATCTCTGTAACTTACAGTTGTGATGAGATAGCGATAACTTCAACCTCTGATGGATACCAATGATCAATGAGTGATCAATGAGAATGACATATTGTAGATCTTGTGAAGTCTATTCCATAAACTGAGAGAATCTTACAACAATGAACGTTCCATAGGTCAAAAGAACATGCTGTTTCCTGCTCCATGCCATAATGCTTACTGCAATGCATCTCTGGGAAGGGGAAGGGCTATCTATGCAACATTAGCTAAACTAAAGGAAAGGGAGGAGCAGAGACAAAACACTGAAAACATTTAAAGGCATATGACAGTCAATACGACAGTCATTTGAAACATGACACCTAGCATTTAACAGCAGGTTCACCCGTAAACTTTATTGGTCTTTGCTGTAAAGCTAGGAATCGTGAAATTTTTTAATGAGATTTAACTAACCTTGGGCAAACAACTTTTTTTTCCCCTTTACTAGTCAAAACTGTGTCTTGTAGTGACATGCTGTAATGGCACCCAGTGCAGGACATACCATTCTACATGGAGGAGACATTGCCTTTTACTCTTCTTTCCCTCTACTGAGATACTGATGGTATGCTGCACCATTCTCCTCCGGCCTGCAGGAGGAGAGCTAAAGCCAAGCAAGACCATAGACCTCTAGGCAGAGCGCTGAGAATCCTGGAAGCTGTAGTTTGAAACAGTAGTAGCCATAAAAAGGAAATGGGAAGAATAGACATCTTACACTGTAACTCCCTAGAGACACTGGGCAAGGAGGAGGAGTGGAGCTGCTTTTCTGAGGCTGCTCAGCTAGGTTCTTCCCTCTTGGTCCTGAGGGAACCGATGAGATCACATGTGCTGCATACTGACCTGCTGAGAGGCCAAACCAGAGGAGACACTTGAGGCAGAACAGCACAGACTGCAGTGACCAGATCTGCACCGCAGGGAGATCCACAGACCCCAATCCATCTGCCATACTACAGAGCAGCAGTGGTAAGTCTGCACATGCTGTGTTTTGGTGTGTATTGTTAGAGAGTTTATTTTGGGGAAGGTGCATGTGATCGGCACAGGACCAATCAACGCAGTCCAGACAGAGGGTCAGGGGACATGCAGCCTCATAAGACAGTCAGCGGAGAATGAAAACTTCACCTACAGGATTAACCAGTGATGCTTGGCCAAACGATGGTAGAAGTCACAAGGCTGCTATATACTGCTGATGAGAAAAGAGATTTAGAAGTTTATATTTACTAAAATAATTGCATTTCCATGTTATGTGTACTGTGGAAGACCGGATACAGTGAATGCAGGGTCCTGGGTTTAATAACACTTTGCTTATACTGCACCTGTACGACACCTCACCTTTACTGCATCTTTACTACAACTATACTGCATGCAGGTTTACTAAAACTGTCTTTAAGTGCACCAACACTTCTTAAAGGGCTCCAACGATAGCTGGCTGAAGAACATAAAGAAGTGCCCCTCCCATAAAACCATCCTCCAAATCCCCTTCCCATTTCCTTCATTTCTATGGACAGTGCTCATTCAGTCGGTCTAGGCCTAGCATAGTTGCCATCAATGCACTTTGCAATTATAGATCCTATGCTCAGTAAATCAAGCTTTATTACTGCTTACTGCTGCACTTTGGGCGACTTTGCTACTGTTTATGCTGATCTGGATGCTAAGTGTCATCTTATACTGAGTTCTTATTACTAACCACCCTGTATGCTAAATTGTGTTATTACCATTGTTAACACTGCTGGTTTGCTAGCAAGGGACACATCTGAATTCTGATGGTCCTTTTAACTGCTGACTAAAAGTCTCGTAGGTTAGGATAGTCACAGAAAATGTGTAGAAGCATTCATTTGTCCTTTTGACACCTCTAGAAGAGGAGTAAAATCTGCAGGTATATTTTGTGTAAAATTAACATTGCAGTTGTGGTGATATTGATTGTTAATCGCACCCCAACTTCAGCCAGCAGAAGCAATTTTCACACATGACAACTGTGACAAAACATGTAGTAAAGAATCATGTGAAGCTCAACACCCAAAAAAGGTTCAGGAGCTTACTTGGTATGTTTATCACATGTAAGGCAGCCCATTTAAATGATTGATCTAAAAATGAGTACACTAGCTCTTTAAGTAAAAATAGAATAAAAGAAGCAAAGTGATCAATAAAAAAAATAAATAATCAAAATAGTGCAAAAGTCAGTGCTAATAAAGTGCAATGTGCAAACAATGAACTGTCTCTTTAAATCCAAAAGTGCAAAAATGCCAATTAAAATATTGCTTTTGTACTATAAATATTAATACATCTGGTTTATGCCAAATTCATATACACTGTGTGCTAAAGTGCAGTGAAAAAAGTAAATAAAGTGCAATCCATTTTTGATTAAATAAATAAAATGCCCAAATGAAATCCACCAGAAAGTTCTTGTGAGGTGTTTCACTACCTTTAGACTTCACTCCAAGAATCTGCCACTAGCAGCCTAATGATGATCTGCGATAATGGCTCCAGACCACTCTCAAAAGCTCCAACTGACCACCAAAAGAATCACCATACCGGTATAACTCCAAGAAAGCACATAAAGAACTCCATGGCCCAGTATCACAAATTGCAGAAGTTTTAATCAGCAACTATACTCACAAGGGGAGATATAGATTGGCAATACACCAAAAACAGTGTCCGACATGCTCTATGACATCACAGATAAGCTCTGCTCGACTAGATTTGCATGAATACTCGTCTTCAGGGGACTGCATTCAAATGAATGGGCTGCCTTATGCATGTTGCACAAAAACATGCAAAACAATGCAAAAAAAGAGTGTTCACATGACATAGAGGTGCAAATGCGGCCTTAAGGGACGGTTCACCTTTACTGACATTTGCCATAAAAATTCCCAAGTGTTACAGTGCCCTCAGTTCATCATTATGTGGTACTCCATTGTTTTTTTTTTTTTTAAAGAATGCATACTTTTTCAGCTGCTTGTTTTGTTTCCGTCCTCTCTCCATCCTGCAGATGGCAGGACGTACCAAGCGTTGGATGTATGGCCCTGGAAACTCACAAATGAGCACTTGGCTTTATTCCCTACCCATTCATTTAAAGTTTACTCACTTTTGCAGCTCAACATTCATGAGTTTCCATGGCCATGCATCCAATGTTTGATATGTCTTGCAAACTGAAGGACAGAGAGGGAAGAGCAATGAAATGAGCAAATGAAAAAGTAAGCATTCGTTTTAAAAAAAATGGAGCACTGCATAGTAATCTACTGAGGATGCTGTAATATATTGGGCAGTTTTTGTCAAAAGTCAGTTAAGGTGAACTAACCCTTTAACAAATGTATTATTTTATTAATGTTACTTATATAGTGCCGCCAAATGTATGCAGCACTTTACAGTACTTATATATATATACCCACATGGAAGAAAAATATATTTGAAGCATATTTTACAAATATTCTTCCCAAATATATTCACATATATTTGAAATGCTACAATTTTGGCCATATTCAATATATTTCAATATATATATATATATATATATATATATATATATATATATATATATATATATATACACACGCACAGTGAAGGAAATAAGTATTTGATCCCCTGCTGATGAATGTTTGTCCACTCACAAATCCCAGAGGTCAGACATTTTCTGTAGTTGGCCACCAGGTTTGCACACATCTCAGGAGGGATTTTGGCCCACTCCTCTTGGCAGATCCTCTCCGAGTCATTGAGGTTTGGTGGTTGACATTTGGCAACTCGAACTTTCAGCTCCCTCCACAGATTTTCATTTGGATTAAGGTCTGGAGACTGGCTAGTCACTCCTTTGTTGCTTTGGCCGTGTGTTTTGGGTTATTGTCATGCTGGAACACCCATCCACGACCCATTTTCAATGCCCTGGCTGAGGGAAGAAGGTTTTCACCCACGGTTTGATGGCACAGTACCCCATCCATCGTCCCTCTGATGTAGTGCAGTTGTCCTGTCCCCTTAGCAGAAAAACACCCCAAAGCAGAATGTTTCCACCACCATGTTGGACAGTTGGGATGGTGTTCTTGGAGTCATAGGCAGCATTCCTCCTCCTCCAGACACGGCGAGTTGAGTTGATGCCAAAGAGCTTGATTTTGGTCTCATCTGACTACAACACTTTCAACCAGTCCTCCTCCTCTGCATCATTCAGATGTTCAGTGGCAAACGTCATGTGCTTTCTTGAGCAGAGGGACCTTGCGCGCACTGCAGGACTTCAATCCTTGTTGGCTTAGTGTGTTACCAATTGTTTTCTTGGTGACTGTGGTCCCAGCTGCCTGTAGATCATTGACAAGATCCTCACATGTAGTTCTGGGATGATTCCTCACTGTTCTCATCAGGGGCAGACTGACCATTCGAGCACTTGGGCACTGCCCGAGGCCCAGGGTCAGTAGGGGGCCCCATGAAATGCCCCAGGTAAATTTTATAAGCTTTTTTGGGCGTGCTTTGAGTGTGGGCAAGGACACAGGGGCCCCATGATCCCCTATTGCCCGGGGGCCTCATGAGTTGTCAGTCCGCCCCTGGTTCTCATAATCATTGACACTCCATGAGTCTGGTGCACCAGACCTGGGGAGACTGACAGTTGTTTTGTGTTTCTTCCATTTGCGAATGATTGCACCAACTGTTGTCACCTTTTCACCAACCTGCTTGGCGATAGTTTGGTAGCCCAGTCCAGCCTTGTGTATGTCTACAATCTTGTCCCTGACATCCTTGGACAGCTCTTTGGTCTGTGCCGTGGTGGAGAGTTTGGAATCTGATTGTATGATTGCTCC